TGATGATGAAATATATGGGGTTAAAACTTGGGCCAGCACTTAAAATATGCAATTTGGTAAATCGTATTAAGGGCAGAAGGCATATACTTCTGTGACTTTATTAAACGTCAAAATATGTACAGTGAGTTAAATTGACGCATTACTTAAACTGGCTGGTCAAATTTGTTTTCATTATTGAGAACAAAATAATATATAAGTTGTTAAAATAATGTGAATATATTGAGTATAATCTTTCAAAACCTATTCATTTATCAATTAACATAGATTTTAAGTGAAAAGAATCAAAGTTTAATTTTAGTATTAGTATTTAAATATTCTTTTCTTCTGAGAAATGTAAAATTATATTATTTACATGAATGTAAAATCTTTTTGATAATGGACAGAATTAAGAATATCTTTAGAAGAATTCTAGAATCTAATTAGACTAGTTGATTCAACTCCAGATGCTAATACGTATCAGGTTAAGGAAATACATTTGCGACGAGTTTGCTTTTCTTAAACGTTGCTGTAAACGTTACATATTCTCTTGAAAAAATAACTTTTATTGTCTAAGTAATCTCAATCTTTTAAGCTGTATTTGTGGTATAAAAACAGCGTAAAGTGTGTATAGTACAATGAATGCTTTATTTACTACATTATTAAGTATACCGTGATACTTTAAAAATATGCAATTATTTTTCAAATATTTGTTAACATGAAATTAAAGCAAACTTTTATATTTTATGCATTTTTGTTATAAAAAAATAAGTCGTAAAAAACGTGTGTACAAAGTGTAATTATTTTTTGTTTGATAATACATATTTAAGAATCATTATCTTTATATGTAATTACTTTATCCATTTAACGATGTACTAATGAAATAATAAGGTACTATTTTATACATGAAAAGGCAAAATGTTCTACTTTATATTTACTATATAAAATCAGAAGTTTAGAATGCGAATAACTACAATTTATTAAAGTGAATTGTGTTAAACTATGTAATCACATTTTCTTACATTTCTTTGGCATTTTCTTTTTTTTCTTAGCGATAATAAATATGTAATAAAACACATTTTTAAGAAATCTAATTTTGAATATGTAATTCAAATAAAGTTGAATTGCCATATCACATGTGTTTTAGAACATACATTTTTATATTTAATATGCGTAAATGTTTATATTTTTGATAATAATGATTACATATGTATTTCTTATATTCCTACTTTCATGTAAAAAGAGTTTCTAGATATTACATATAATATTTATTAATGTAATTTCATAAAAATATTTTCTAAAAGTGAAGTGTATAATTCATAGGCTGGGGCATTATAAGGTAATTTATATAATCTTTTACAGTTTTTTATGGATACAGTATTATATTCGGTTATCCTCATTTATTATTCCTTTCCAAATTCTTTGTGCAACTTGCATTTATTGCATAGTGTTAATATAAATACGATTTCTGTTTCAGTATGTACATATAGAAAGTCTTAAGGTGTATAAAATTTTCTCTGTGATACATTGCATAATTATAGTACTAAAAATTAGTTATTAAACATGTAAAAACGCAAGAAATAGAATATTCTTCACAGAATTTAATTCATATTTAAAATATTATGAAATTTAATTTATATAAATTTCTTGTATATAAATATAACAAACTATACATGTATATAAGTAATACATTTAACACAATGACATTAAAATATATTTTTAATTAATTTCACTTCAATTTTAATTTGAAATGAAAAGAATAGTGTTAGTAATAGTGAAATGGCTATGAAATACATTACAACCTACCATAAAGTAATGCAACAAATTATTCTTTCATGAGTGGTTATACTGAAATTAAGTTTCACAAATAATGATTAAATGGAGTTGGATCAAATGAATTTCAATATTACTTTCAATAATATTCGAGTTTCATACTTTCCTTTTTTATAATATACATTTAAAATATAGTATGATCTTAATGTTGCAATTTTTATACCTTTTAAAAACAACCATTTTTCTAAATTCTGCTCTTTGAAAAATTTTGTAATTACATGATAGTTATTCTAAATGAGACAGATATATTAAATATTACATATTGACAAAAACTGTCTAATGGGTTGTTGAATTAAGGTATAATGAAATGTTTATTCAATTACTTTTTGGATGTTGATTTATGCTTGAATTTGTAATACTTTCATATAATAAACTTTACATAAAATTTTGTCAATGATGCTTACATGAGAGAATAAAACTATGTTAAAGTACATGACACTTTTCTTTTATTTCTTTGTAAAATTTATTTGTAAATATTTCTAATATAT